TTTTGTACCTTTGTTTTAGCTTTTTTTTATTGCGTTTCAGCCCAACCCTTTTGGGTCTTGTGACAGCATATTTCCGTTACATAACACTGCACATGGTAGTAATTGATGTACAGTCTTGTGTATACCTTCTGTTTATTGCCAAACATGAAAGTTCCTGCAGCCGTTATGAAGTATAAAAGACCACTATAATTTACTAAAATTTACAAATATATTGTGTTTAAGAATTAAATTCATTTATCTAAAAATAAATATGACAATTTCCATAATAATGTATAAAGCTAAAAGTAAATGTAAAACTTTAAACAGTATAAATGAAAAAATAATTTATGAGCAATACAAGTAACTGTTGAGAGTACACATTTTTCTGCAAAATCCATTGTAGTCAGCAATTCATCAGAGTTACGTAATATGGAAGTAATATTATGGTAATTGACATGAAATTGAAAGACAATTCACGTTTGTGTCAAGGATAGCATGTCTTTTAAAACCACAAGTGTTCTACATACTTTGACCTATATATCCAGTCATATCCATTGCTATTTGTGTAAAAATGTTTCCTAGAAGGTTTTATATAATCCATGTATTCAAGGATAACCTTTGTTGTTTCACTTAAGTCAAATAAAAACCAAAATAACATTTAAGTTGATTACCAATTTATGTTTTCTGTCTAATTGACTTTATGTAATCACATAATAATTGTTGTATGATATATTTGTCTAGGGCATCAACTATATCATGATAAAATGTTATATGCAAAATTTCAAAGGGGATCTGCATGCTATTACACACTTTGCCCACTGTCAAGGCGCTTATATTATTTTACATATAGAGCATTATTCTCACAGTAGTCCGTAGGTTCGGTACCAATCACTCATGCATCGCTCATTACAAGCCTAAATACACTATATAGGCATGTCACGATTAGCACTACCGAACCAATGTTTTGAGCGTCATAAAAGTAAATGAGGAGTAAAAAAAAAAGGGGAGTACTTTTACATGAGTAAAACTTGTATTGAGAGTATTTGAAGTTTTACGTACGAGTACTATCTTTGGGAGCTTTGTACCAAACTACGGACTGTACTATAGAAACTTGATGCAATTTGAATCATGAAATGGTGGTTGTTGTGATTTCAGAGCCTAGAGGCATCAAATAATGCCTTTCACGGCGCGAGAACAAAATTAGTAAGTAAGAATATATGTGTACAAACACAAAGTAAATTTGTACTCCTTTCCATAGAGCATTCCTTGCAATATCCTCAGGGCTGCTTTAATTCCCATGACTACATAAATGTGGTATGTGCCAATAAGTTTACCATTCTTGTCTTCCTATCAAATAACACAGGATAATAGCGAGACGATCTTTTTGTTTCAAATACAATTAAAATTCCAAGTAACTTGCATTTACATATGTAAATAATATTATGTCTATGATATGGAGCAAAAATTTAATTGTATATCGTCTATATTAATCTGTGTCCATTCAGTCAAAAAAAGTAGTTTCATTCGCACTCTTCTGTTTGTAGTCCATTTCAATTCATTGCAGCCCTTTTTAAAACAAAAAATATAAATATTCTCTCGATTAATGTAACTTTTCTAATGTTTAGGATTCCAAGTCTGGAGCCTTGAAGAAGTCCAGCCGCTATCGTAGCCGCTCTTTATCAGCCAGCAGCACAGATAGTTACAGCTCTGGTACAGACTAATTTATTTTACTTGTTACTAATTAATTATTGTACATTCTATTGTTTTATGTATATGTGTACTTAACAAATGTTAATATTATTAATAGCTTTAGTTGTAACTAACTTTGTAGCATGCACTTGTTAATCACAATTTATTTTACCAAACATATTCATAAACTTGTTGCACGTGCACATTGTTGTGGTACTAATCCTATTCGTTTTCTGGCACTTTTGTACTTTAGCTTCTTATACAGGAAGCTCATCTGACGAAGACGATGTTTCTCCACGCGAAAAAATTCAAAAAACGGAGAAGGGTTTCACCGATTTTTGCGTACGCAATATCAACCAACATGCGTTTGGTCGAAGAGAAATAGAAATAGCGGAACAGGAAATGCCTGGAATTATGGCGCTCCGTAAACGTGCAGCTGACGATAAGGTATACATATTATCTACTATGAAAACAAAGATAAATGTTAATATACAATGTTAATGTGTACATCGTCAAGTATTATTTTAACCAGCCATTGAAGAATGCTAAAATTGTGGGGTGCACTCATATCAATGCTCAAACTGCTGTCCTCATTGAAACATTAGTACATCTAGGAGCACAAGTCAGATGGGCAGCGTGTAACATATATTCTACACAAAATGAGGTGGCTGCTGCCCTCGCTCACGCTGGTTATCCAATTTTTGCTTGGCGCGGTGAAACGGAAGAAGATTTCTGGTGGTGTATCGATAAATGCGTAGCAGCTGAAAATTGGCAACCTAATATGATATTGGATGATGGTGGAGATGCAACACATTTAATGCTCAAAAAATATAACGCCATGTTTAAGATGATTCAAGGTTCGTTTACTTTGTATCAGAACAACGGCAAAAATATTAATAATACTGTTAACACTCAGGAATCGTCGAAGAGAGCGTAACAGGTGTACATAGGTTATACCAATTATCCAAAGCGGGCAAATTATCCGTCCCTGCCATGAATGTAAACGACAGTGTAACAAAAACGAAGTTTGACAATCTTTACAGCTGCCGTGAAAGTATTATCGATAGGTAAATTAATTTCAAACAAATCATTCAAATATATCGAAGATACATATTGGGAACTATAATTTTTATACCTTCTCGCAGTTTGAAAAGATCCACAGATATTATGTTTGGTGGAAAGCAAGTTGTAATTTGTGGCTATGGTGAAGTTGGTAAAGGCTGCTGTCAAGCTCTTAAAGGCTTGGGATGTATTGTTTATATAACTGAAATTGATCCAATTTGTGCTTTACAAGCTAGGTGAATAACTTTTTTTTTTTTAAAGTACATATCGTAATACTTTAATTATTCATGAATATCTTTTCACAGTATGGATGGCTTTAGAGTAATGAAGCTAAACGAAGTTATCAGAAATGTTGACATTGTTATTACAGCAACGGGCAATAAAAATGTAGTTACACGTGAACATATGGACAAGATGAAGAACGGATGTGTGGTGTGCAATATGGGACACAGCAATACGGAAATAGACATTGTACGTTTAAGCTTTAACGATAGAATGTAGTTTCTCTAAAATTCGATTAGTCCTTCGATTAGATTTCTTAGGGAGAAAAAACTCGTGTTTCTTACATTTCAGAACAAAAAAAAAAAAAAGAAATGTATTGGTAAGACATTAAGACTCCTTTAATATGTGCTTAACAGAACAGTTTACGCACGCCCGATTTAACTTGGGAAAAAGTAAGGTCTCAAGTGGATCATGTTATCTGGCCAGATGGAAAGCGCATCGTGTTATTAGCAGAAGGCCGTTTAGTCAACTTATCTTGTTCCAGTATTCCCTCATTTGTTGTATCAATTACAGCTGCTACTCAAGCGTTAGCACTCATTGAACTTTTTAACGCTCCTCCGGGACGATATAAAAGCGACGTTTATCTACTACCAAAAAAAATGGGTAAGCGACGTATTGTTGTATGTTTTATGCATTTATCCGTTATCATTTAATATAAAGTAATTTAAAAAATAATGACACTAGATGAATACGTGGCGTCACTACATTTACCGACGTTTGATGCACATTTGACGGAGTTAACGGACGAACAAGCAAAATACATGGGACTTAATAAGGCTGGACCTTTTAAGCCTAACTATTACCGGTTCGTACATAGTTCTACAACGTACTTTAAACCATATATATATATATATAAATTACTATTTATCATTTTTATGAATTTGTTTCAGCTATTAAAAATATGGACGAGTGACATAGCACAGTATATGCGATATTTGAAACTTTAAGTTTACGAGTATTAAGAAAGCTGCCACGTTTCAATAAATTTCCTTCTATTAATTTTGTTTATCGGAATCAATAGAAATTTTTCATAAGATTTCCTGTTAACTTTAACGTGATACTAAGCTGTTTTATTGCCGTAAACGAGTATTTTCCGCGTGTGTCACCAGAAATATCGCCTCAACACTGGTTGCAATAATCAATACTAGAAGTTATATAAGTGAACATATATGTATATTGAGTTAATTTTCCCGCGTATATAAAGGATTAATTTATTATCTATGTAAGCATAAAGTCAGATGTGCAGTTGATCAGCCAAGTCGAAGTTGTAGTTTGCCAAATGCCAATTTTCATAGCGAGAATTTAAACGAAAGTGTGTGGTAAAGATCTGTACGCGTAAAACATTTTTTAATGTCATAGATTACGCGATTAGAAGTTGTCATTGAGATTATCGCGGTCTGTTAAATACTATTTTCAGTAAACTGTTAGTTACGAAAAATACCAATTTTTCTGGTATCATTGAAAATGTGTACATATACATAGAAAATTAAATATTGCAAAACATTTGTTGTCATACGATCCACTGAAATGCGTAACATACATCTAATGAATTAATGTTCGCAACAATTACATCCAATCATTGTTCTCAATTTACTCATTGAAACAGCAATTGATTATACCTGTATTTAGTGCCTCCGTTTCTAAGAGGATGACAGTGTAAACGCCAATCATTTCCACTATGTGTACATAATTATCTAAAACAAACGGAAAACAATTAGTACGGGTAAAAATCTTATCAGATTGATCCTTTTATAATTGATCGTACCTCTGTTTCGATAAAAACTATCGATAATTACAAATAGAAAACTAATAAACATCTATGATGCCTTGTACACCACCACGTTTATATTATTTTAATTTAAACATCCTGTACCTCTTATCGTACCATATAACTTTTATACTTTATCCGTAATAGTAAGGTTAATAAACACACGTAAATCAACAATGAAGGGAATTCATCATAAAATGAGAAGATAAAATACATTACGTCAATATAAATGTTATATATTTCAGCATAATCATTATAAAGTAAATGGCTTTTAAAGCGCTTATCAACAGCATTGATTGAAGATAAGTTTTACAAAGAATTCTTATAGCCTTTTGTATCAACGATCCGTGTATGAGTATTGAAAACAAAATAACTTTGGGATTAATTGTAAAATGAACCTACATAAAATGGCAAGCCTCGACGGCATGGCATATATAATAATGGCATAAGAACAGCGGTCGTACAGAGATAAACTTAAGCACAATTCCATGTATATAAGAAATAAATAATAAAACCAAAAAAAAATGTAGTAAAAATATATTTTACAATACTCTGTACAAGATGTCATTAGAATTAGTATGGAGTCACCTTGACGCAATTTAAGGTTATCAGGAAAATCAGGCTGTTAACCCTGGAATACTGTTATTAAATGTTTTTAATGTTTTATTGCAAACAATCGAGTCTACGTCACTAACTGTTTCCATTTAGAACATCAATATAGTTTCAAATATTATTACAGACATTAATTTACAGAACTTGTAATTTTGATTCGAACAGAAGATTTACAATCACAGTATCCCACGATTAATTTTAGCATAGTGTTCGTATATTTCTACAAAATATAATCCTATATTTGCAAATGTCCATTGTCGGTTAAATTTCAATAAAATTTTGTCTGTTCACAAATACTATATGTGTTCTTTGAAGAATAAACATTAATCGCAAATAACGAAGCTTTTTGGAAACGATCGAGTCTTCGAATTAATACGCAGAAATACAAAGGCACGTAAAATACGTGAGAGTATAATTTTCGAACACGTTTTTCTCTCCTGAATTAACAACAAATATTGTAATCAAAATCTGATAATTTGTCTCAACAATTCACTGCACTCTGAATATATATAAAAAAATCTACAATCAGGGAGCTCAGTAAAAAAACATGATACGGTATGATTATATTACATGTAAAAAATCGAGAAAAATGAAGCAGTTAATATTTACATTATTCGATTATTCGCGTGTCATTGCACTGAGATTGTCTCTACTACGTAACTGTGATTTTAATATGCTAGACTTTTCCTTTCATTGTAAACGGGGTTTCGTCAATTAATATTTCATTACTGATCACACCATTAATTTTAAACAGGGTTTCGTCAATTAATTTTTTGTCATTGATAACACCGAGCTCCCGCAATATCAATGATAATTGTAACATAAACATTATAAACATTCGTAACGAACTATTCACTATTCAACTAAATTATACAAGAATTGTTTGATTACATTAAAGAAAAGAAATCATGAATATACGCGCTCTATATATGCTCGATCTCTGCAAGGCAAATTAATCGATAAAGATAAATGTTGTAATGATAGAAATATGTCTTACGTATGTCACGTATTCGTAGGTCATCGCTACATTATATATATATATAATTATATATATATATAAATCACTTAAACCACAATTCCATCGTTTAAAACTTTTTAGTCTAGACTAAATATACATATATAAATATATATATATATATATATTTAGTATGCGATAAAGTAGTTCTTTTCTCGTTTATAAATATGTAACAAAAATAGATAATAATAGATATATATTGTATGTACAATGTAGACATGTAAAACCTAACAAAGTAGATAGCGCTCGATTATTTCCACTAAATCAATCTAATAAGCTTTTATCGTGAAAAATACCTAATTATCTCAACATGAGCATATTCAAAATCTTGCGTGCATTTACTTCTCACTTTGTTTTTATAAGACAACTATACAACTAATTAATATTTTGTTTTCCTTTTACTACACTTTTGCAAGGATCCTTACGTGGAATATTTTCCGAGCGAATCGTTTAGTTAAAATTTTCTCCTCGTGGTGTTATTTCAATTACGCATTTTTAAACACTCTGTGCACACATGTCCCTACGTAAAAAGTATATGTATTCTGTTGATAGAATGCATCACGATGCACCGGACGTCCATCGATTGTGTTTATTCCTCTTTTCAACTTAATATTGTTACAAACTAGGTAGCATTTACATGTTACACGCGACTCATTAAATATTAGCGATTCATCTCTTAGTAACAACAATAACATACGAGTATACGTAAGCTCGCTCCAGAGACAGTTCCATGGACGTCAATTTGTTCCATGAAACTTATTACATATCATTTCACAAGTACAAACAACATTTTTTTTTTTATTGTTATTTTTTCTTGATTAGCATATACTTTCCACAAATTCGTTAAGAGAAATTGTTTGAACTTGTGAAATAACTCGGATATACATCCTCCCAGGCCTTTTTTGAACTGGTATATTGGTGAGTAATTGAGTTGTTCGATTTTGCAACCCGAGGTCAAGTACAGACGATTGATACGCAATTACAAAAAGTGATCGATGAATTTGATTGTTCACGATGCAAGAAAGGTCAATTTTTTACTTTTTTTTCTCGATGTCTATTATGATCTTTACTTTATATAAATTTCTTTTGCAAATTGATTATCACGAAGATCGTTCAATGAATTGATTAAGAGTAATGCTTTAAAATATGATATGTTCCGATTACCAACAAATTATTAATATTGAAATTGATGATAATGTAGAAAACATAAGCGTTAAAAAAGGCCTGTATAAACTCATGTACCCCGTCAATGACTAGCTTAAGGTATTATGCATATATATTCTTGTTTTTTTTTTTTAGCATAAATGATTCAATGGCATTGCATAGTTCCTTAAAATTTCTGTAAAGTATAGTATTCAATTGATGTACCAGCACTTCTTCAACATTCTAGTATTTCCAAATTCATTCAACTTTGCTGACCATCAAAATAGTCCGTTTAAACTGTACAAATGATCTTGTGTCCTTAAAATAACCTTTCTTTGAACAAAAAATAACAACGTTTAAAACAATTTATTTGCTGATAAAAGTTAAAAATGATTGTAGTTTCACTAAAAATTTGCAGTGAAGTCAGCAAAGATATTAAAACGGAAACAATATAGAACGTTTGTTTTCTGGTATGTCTAAATTTTCAACAGATATTGAAATACGTAAGAAACATGCAAAATATAACTGGTCTCAGAACTCCACTTTGATTAGTCTTTCCTTATCTTATTATCCTTGACCCTGTACTCGTTATCATAGTTTCCTTTTACTGTATATTTTCTGTCAATCATTGCTAGCGATAGTAAAATACTACAGGAACGATTTGTAACTTATATATACAGATAAACAAATTGCGCGTACAAATGTAGTTCAGCAAAAATCGTTATAACCTCTGTACGTACTCCACGGCTTTAACAAACAAATGATTCGAATATCAAAAATTTCTGTTTTAGTTACGCTAACCGCGAAAAAGATCAAAATTGCAAGTAACTGTTTTTGCAATGCATTCTCGGCATGATATTTGAATAAAGATATTTTGAAAGATCTTAGATTTATTTTGAACGTATTCGAAACGTGAATATTTTCACAAAGAGTTGATTAAAAGCTTCACAATGATTAAATGACTATTGACTTTACAATGATAATTGTTTTACTGCCATAGATAGTCAGCAAAGAAATTTGATTGTTCCGACACAAGCTGTTTGTCAATGAATGTATGCCACATAATTTACTTAAACTATGTATCCTTATGCTATGGCGTTGCTAGTGATTCTTACATCACATTGCACGATATACAATATAAAAGTAATTCGTTTTGTACATACTTTCACAAATGAGGTTATTTTCTGTTCGATATGTCCTCATACCGAATGTATCGTTGTATACGATATTCTTCTTTAATTACGCTTTCAGTCGTAATGCGACATCGAGTCATGCTGTTTCGCGCAAGATCCCGGAAAACACACCGCCGTAGATATATAGACACTAGCATGTCCACCTCCCTTAGGACGCACAGTTTCTTTCAATTTCGTATTTTTCAAGTCTTCGATCTAAATACTATACTGATAAAAAACAAATGTAGAGCTTACTGTTGTCGATTATATTTCGAAAGCACCTACAAACGTTAAATCGTATTGCACCACTTTAGTTCATTAGGAAGAGGTTCCTGTGTTGAAGGAAATTCATACGAACCGACAAGTACAAGCTCACTGCCAGAATCGATACATTCGCATCTCTTCTTTTCATTGAACAGTACTTGGCACAACAGTCACTTTACTGTATTGTTCGTCTGACTGTCCGGCGGTGTTCTGTGGCAGTGGTTTTTCAAACCTTTCGTGCTGCACGTACGGCGACGAGACTGTCGACGATCTATGTTGATCTAGCTTTGGATTTTCCGCTATGGTAACGTAACCAGTGCTCTGTTTGGCCGTAATAATAGGCTTCTCTGGATCTAACTTCGAACTTGGTTTTGTACCACCAGTCTGCCAACACAAAGGATATGTCGTTATAGAATCTTCGTCACTTCGATTCTCTATCGTTTCCGAAATGGACACTTCTGGTTTCCCCACTTGTTGTTGTTGCAACATTTGGAACACGGAACTCGCTAGAACATAAGGCTTCGATCCGTCAGTCGTAGACGCTTGAAGTACACAGGACTTCTGCGAAGGCTCCGATACGGTCGGTTGGAAACTTGACTTTTTCGAAACCTCGGGAATCGAGGATATGGAAACGTACGGTTTCGAAGAAGAATCCAAAGTGGAGGGCAATGACATTGGACTCGCGAAAGAGGAAACGAATGGTTTGTTGCACGAGTCAGTCAGAGATGTTGATGCGAATGGAGTGGATATTATCGTACTTCTTCCACCTCCCTCAATACCGCTTAAAGTGAACGGTTTTTTCTTCAATGGATCGATCAAACCCGTTTGCACATACGGTTTGGAAGTTTTATCAGAAGTAGAGAATGGAATTAAGGATTCCAGTTTTGATTTGTTCGTCTCGGTAAACGTCAAATCATCTAAATCACCCAAAGCATCGATTGTTTTCTTGTCCTTTTGTTTCTGTTCCAAAGAGGCTAAGGTTATATATGGATTAATAGGTTTAGTTTCCGCTTTAATGGGTATCAACGTATCCGCTGTGGATTCCGTTAGATCACTGTCATCTTCGGATTTTGATTTCACTGGCTTTGGCACCGAGCCTATAACGCTGTAGCCACCAGTAGTTAAAGTTTCTTTAGAAACAGGGCTTGGATTGCTCGACAGTTCCTCTGACGATGGCATACTGATGTAACCAGTCGAGGACCAAGTATGTTGAGAAGTCGTACAGCCTGTACTGTCGGTTAAATTTGGCGTGGATCGCGCCAAGGATAATGTGTCTCCAATAATGGGCTCCCCAGACTTTGCAACCTTCACATAAGGTTCCCAACGCGCTGTTTCTGTTGTAAATCCTGGTCTTGTAATTCCAACATTTCTTTGACGCAGACTCGAAGATTCCCAAGCTGGTAAAGTTTCTAATAATTTATTGGGTGACACTGGCATAGGATCTATCTCGGTACCACTGTCACTAGAAACTTGAGAATCTGACGTGAGAGACGAGGTAACAGATTCTTGTCCACTGGAACAACCGCTTGAATCAGCAGAAGATTGTCGTATGTGTTGTTCACCAACCTTCTGAAGAAGTTTCTGTAATCAAAATATACAACACGTAAGTAACCAAAGTCAAATCTTCTAATAATACAATATCTGTTCTTGTAAGAACTACACATTACCATGTTCGGTGCCAGTCCCGGTGGTAATTTCACTTCAACATCTTGCATAGCTTTGCATTTCAACCACATTCTACAATAAATGAAACAGTTAGTCGGATAACATTTGTTCTATAAAATATTTTATACTGAACAATATATATATATACACATTCTATACCTCTTTAAAACGTGTCCAAGACAAAGGAGAATCGCGAGAATAGTAATGCCTCCTATCACCCATATTACCCACATACTAAACGATGGTCCTGTAGTGTAATTAAATTGTTAAATAATTGTTTTCACGTAAAGATAAAGAGTAAGACATATGAAATTAAATGGTAACTTACCATCACTGTAACAATTTCCCTCACCAGGTTCAGACCATGGACCCTTTAAATGTACGTTACCCGGCGCAATATTAATAGCTCTTACACGAAATTGATACAGTCGTTCTCGTCCTACAGTCTTGCAATCAGGAATAGCTAATTGAGCTTCTGCAATGCCAAAAAGAAAAAAAAATAATACAAACAATGAAATCGCATTCCCAACAAATACATTTATCTTTCACAATATTACCTGTACTTGTACTATTTTGAACTTCACCATCGTTCGAAGATATTTCGTAATAGTTCAAGTGACCAGCTGAGTATTGAGGTTTATTCCATATGACGATCACTTGGCTAGAATTCACGAAGCGCACATTGGGCACATTCATTTTCCCCGGTACTCCAATCTTCGTGGTTTCATGGATTATAGGTGACTCTGTACTGCAAGCTACAGTACACGCTGCTATGCTAATGTTGTAATTCGTGTGTGCTAGTAGACCCTTCAATTCGATGTGATTTGCTTCATCGACTTCTTGTACTTCTTTATTATAATACACCTTGTAGTAACGCAATACACCGTTCATTGCATCCGGTGGTTTCCACGTGATGAACATTGTCGTGTTCGTCACATTAACAATTTTAACATCATGCGGTGGAGTTGATGGTGCAGCTTCAAGTGTTGTATTGAATAAAGGATCACCGTGCACTCCTTCTCCAGTTTTTGTTAAAATAGCAACAGTCAGCATATACGTTGTATACGGTTTCAAATTGTTCACTCTTCCGTTCGTAGTGTGACGATCTCCTTTTATCGTTGTATTCAGTTTCGCACCTTTGCAGATCGAGTTCAATGGCGAAACAATAGGGCAGTAGTAAATATTGAATCCCTCGACGATTCCAATGCGATCCGAACACTCTAAATTCCACCTAACTTCGATAAAATCGGAGCCAATTCCATTTATCCACACCGATTTTATTTTTCCGATATCCTTGTTATAAATTACGGTACACGAAGCCCATACCATTCCACTACTTCCCTTATTCGTATTCGTAGAAATCGCAAATTGGTAAACTTTGTCAGGATCCGGCACTGTCATATTGTAGACTGTTACATTCTTCGATACATGGACCCAGTCTAGGTAACCAGTGCACTGATACGGACGATCGCGTACATTATCGCACCAAAAAATTGTGTAATTTGTGATTTCTGTATTCATAGGTGGCTTCCAGGATAACTCGTGCAAGCCTTTTTCAAACGCAATTTTTGTGAATGCTATCGGTTCACGGGGTGTTTCGCTTCGACTAGGAACAAAAATTGTAGCTCGTTCCTTGTTTGCTCCAACAATATTTTTTGCAATGACTTCAAATGTATGACTGTAGAAGCTGACTTTGACTTTAATATAGGTTGTTGTAGTTTCATTTAGAAGAAGTGACAATTTTCGTCCATTCTCTTTCACATGACGAATCTCGTACCTAAAGTTGACACCATTTTCTAGATATGATGGTATAGCTTGCCAATACAAATACACGTCTCTGTTAGCGCTATTTTCCGCTATTTCGAAACTTCCAATATCGGTTTTTGGAGGACGATCGGGTAATTTCGGCGACGTTCTGAAAGTAACGTCACTAAACTGACTCCATTTATCTTCCCCTGTCGCGACAGCACTTCTCATGAAAACTCGTACATCGTAGCCAGTGTTGGCATACTTTAATCCAGTCAAATTATAATATCTCTTATGCGTGCGATTATCATTTGTAATATCGATTACTTCCCAATCTTTCTGATGATCCCACTGGTTTTGATACATTATTCTATGATGTAAACCAGGTGGAAAAGTTTGCATTGGAAAAGGTATGTTCCAGTATAATAATGCACTTTCGGATGTTTTATTAATAACTGACAGATTAGCCGGCTTTGCAGGAATAACTAGAAACATTTACATTATCTTTATCATTGAAGTCTTAACATACCAAGATTGATTATAGAAATAATAAATACATACTGTGAGCATAATGATGAAATTTATACTCGAAACTAGCGTTTCCTAGCACATTTTCCGCGGTGAGTATAAACGTATAGTTTTCGTAAGGTTGTCGATAAATTGGGTTTGTAGTTGTATCCCAAAAACACGTATTCGGTTTTTGAGTTTTTTGAGGTTCTTTTGGGCATGGAAATAACATTCGCCCACCTGCTCTTCCCGGCAATTTGAACACAAGCGTGAATTTTGTTGTAACGTAGTTCTGGACAGGATCCCATGTACAGGTCAAATTTTCCCAATTACGAGATATACAAGTAAAATTTTCTGGCTCTTCAGGTTTAACTATAAACAATTAATGGATACTTAGTAAATCGATTTAATATTTTTTCGGTAGAAGATTTCTTTTTTTAGATAGAAGTAAGTTTTAAGAGAAACATATTATACTAGGGATGATTATAAATGGCTCTCTTTATATATGAAGTTCACTATGTAAAAGGTCTTATCTTGAATGATAGTCAAATATGAATTCTAAGATACAGACATATTAAATAGTATTCGTATAATTCTAATGAAAGCAGGCTCTCAATGCTTGCTCTTGTCTCTGTAAAGTACCTTTTGACCTATCCTGATAAGGATGTATGAATGACACTATTTATTAGAATCTGCATACTGCAGATGTAAAATACTTACATCCAACTACAACCTTGTTTAAACAAACTGATGTATATTGTTTGTTTTTATCATTATCTAGCCTCAGTCTACAATAATACATGTCTTCTGCAGGTGGGGGGCTTTCTACATCCAATGATATTGTAGTTTCATTAACAATTGTAATACATTCTGGTTCCATCTCTCTTGCATTGCGAAAGAATACAAGATCTGAGGCATTTTTTCCACGAAAGTTATTGTCCACAAATGTTTGATTCAATATACAAAGTATTTTTAAAGGTTGACAATGTGTTTTCGGAGGTTTACAATGTTCAAGAACAATATCACCTTGAGGCCAAGTTCCTTAAGGGAAAAATATATACAATATTTAAAGTAATTCATTTAAGATTGTTTATTAATTTATGATATATATTATATAGAAAACATGACTAATTTAATAGAGTATACTGTGAATTTACTCTAAATTTTAGCTTCTACTCTGCATCCAGTGCATTAAATATAGATACATGCATTTAGCATCAAGCTAGAATTCCAAAAGGAGAAGAAAGGTACAAGGTTTATTTATAAACCAAGCTGCACTAGGACGACACGAGAAACGAATAATTAATATTCTTATTAGTTTTGCATCTAAAAATTACTTTTCTAATATGCAATTTAAAGTAGCTGTTCTATTTGTTAAATTATTTTAGAAATATTAGATTTATTTATCAAATAAATCAATTAAACTTACTTCCAGGTGTTTGGAGGCCAACTGCACACTGATTTGGATCTGCATTGCATAATGTTGTACACAATAAAATAATAAAGGAGATTAAAAATTGTCTCCAAAAACAATTTCTCCACTGTGTACCAACTTTTTTTGTAATTGGTAATAGCAAAAGCTTATTTGCTTGAGTTTTCCACAAATTGCACGTATTGGAACATACGTAATTATTTACAATTTCTTTCTGTTTCGGACAATGCATTATATCACATTTACAAATACAATGATTAACATCTTCTCTAGATATACAGTGATTGACCGAGCATATGTCGGAAGAATATTTAACAATTACTCCAGTTTCTGCTGTGTCACGCAATTCATTTTCTATTCTGTTAAAAATGTCCTTCTCCTGAGAGAGACAAGTATTAGTTATTACATGATTACTTTTATTTTCACATTTCTCTGAATCACAACACAGAGTCTCTGTCATCCTATGCACGTCCAAAGATTTAACAATATCATGTCTTGATGCACCTTTCGAATCTGACAGTGAAAATTGAAACATTTCTTGTAGTAGCCTTTTGAGACTTGCTTTGGTTGAAGACATCTTGTGCTCCCATCACTGAAAAGAAACAAACAATATTACCATACCGTAACAATACGATACATCAAATCAAAACCATGAGATAGGGAAAAATGAAACATTTTAAAGTAACATGCATCAACACAGCTCCAAAGTTCCACCATGACTGAATCCTTATGATCATAGAAGGTGAAGATAAGGCAGATATTAACGAGATCAAATATATTTCTGATTGGTAAAATCAAGGCCATGAATAATCTAAGAAGTATGAAACTCATTTATTAAATGCTACTATATTATACCATAGGTGCATACCAAATGAGTAGACAAACAAAGATCAAAGAAACACTCTGACAAAAGCTTGAGTAATGAATTGTTTATTGCTACAGATTAAGTACCATTGTTTAAAGGTAGTTCAAAACTAGATTTTAAGAATTCTAATTTAAATAATACAGTGTAAAATCATGTAAAACTAGTATTGGAAATGTATTAACTTAAAAATTAGTCTTAGACTTATCGAAATACTTTTTGAAAATTTGTATGTTCTTTATAAAAATGCATGTTGCGTATCTGAAAACATTTTCGTAGAGAATTAACTGATGTTTTACATCTTACAAAATTTGTACAATATAAAACAATTATCTGTCTACGCGAAAAAAAATTACAACAATCTTGGTGCGCTACTGTAATAACAACTAACTCGAAATACGACGCTTTGTTACTTCAAAAAAAGACACTGTATAATAATAAATTCTAACGATGTAAAATACAGATAAAACGAGTCAAACAAAAATTATCGATACAGGTTGTACACGTTTGTAGTCTTTTACGTTATTAACATATCCATTAAATAGATTCGTGAATCACAGCTCGTCGTTGTTGCTATTTACTAAAAACAAATAATTAACGAAGTAATAGGAAAAGCTGATAACTCTAAAACGTAATCAGTCATCGCGATCGTGGCGCATGCGAAACAGAGAAAAATAAAAAAAGAAAGAATTATACAGATATAGATATATGTATATATATATGTGATATAGGGTGCAGTATTTCTACACAATTATTTAGTACGATGCGGTACACAACTGGTTCTACCATTAAACTACGGAGCATTCTTGCAGATATTTGAGACGCGTATCGCATTGAAAGCGTTACAATCGTTTATTTACGAGCATACGTTCCTATGCTCACAACGTAACGCGTTCCTTGTAGATGCTCATACCTCGTATTCCGTCTTGCTCGCGTATATGTACATGTATATATATAGTATATACAGAAGTATATATATATATGTGTGCGTATACGTATACGTATGGCTGCCTGTATGATGGTGAGATCTCATGAATGCTGGCCTTACATATACAACGCACGCGTGCACACAGCATACATACGCGAAACAATGCACGTAACAGGTTCATTTTCGTACGAAAGTTTGTAGTGTCGTCTAGGAAATGTAAAAAAAAAAAAAGGAACGCGATCGATTACTTGGGAAAATCTGCTGTTGAAGAAGCATGGGTTCCGTTTCGCGGAGAAATCGGCCGACACGACATATTTTGTAAGAGCTGGGAAAATCCTAAACGGTCGTTCGTTCGAATATCTAATCATTTCTGAGAATGTACTCACCGTCAGCGAGTGATCGAAACGTTTTCGCAGATTCCTCATCGTGCTACCATGTACACTATACTCGTTTCCAGTCCACTTCACTAAACTCAACTACACTACGGGGCGGTCGAATGCGAACCCGTTCTACCAGCTGAATATATCTTCTGGTCACCGTAAAGCACTTTGAGATTCAACGAACACGGAACCTCGCGGAGCGCACCATAAACGCGATTTCACGGCACGGTATCACAAACGCCAGCCACATCAATCGGTCGTGTCACTTCATATTTGTGAAAAAATTCTGTTTACATTCGCCCAGAGGGACCTACGAATAAATATATACTTACGATATACATTCTGGGTAAAATACGTGCGATCAATCGACAGTGGTGCCAACATGTCGACGATCAACCGACGACATGAAAAACCAGTCAAATACCCTCGTCACTCGTTTCTACGAATTTCAAGTTCCACGAGATACTTTCGAGTATAAGATTTAATTGTTTAAAAAGAACTCGGACGTAAAATGAATAGAAAACACGTATTTCGAACATCGTAGTTTAACGACAGTGGCTGACGTCACGACCGAGACGTCAAGCGTCGCTTTCTTGGAAATGTAGGCGCAGGTTTCATTGTTTCATGTGATCGTCACTGAACTATTGGGAAATCTGTCAATGTTAAACGAAAACGTGGTTTCGTTTAACAGCAGAAAACAGTTGCTAATCAGTTATAGTCTTAAAATAAAATTTCAATAAAATGAATATTTCTATACAAGAAATTTGTAAATTTGTAAATTCTCGATGCAGCTAGATGATGGTTTAATAGCAGTAGCGCCATCGGCTGGAAAACACCTAAATTTGTAATAAAGTTAATTTCTATTCTTGACGCTAGATGGCGAGTGGTTTTATATCAATTGCGCCATCTGTGAGAAAACTCCCAAGTTTGTAGTAAAAATAGTTTCCACTATTTCCGTTAGATGGCGCATGATTTAATACCAGTGGCGCTATCAGTGGAAAATCGCCCAAGCTTTTAGTGAAGTTAGTCACTATTTTTTACACTAGATGGCGCCATTTGTCGATAAAAATTGCGCCATCTAGCAGTAAAAATAGGAACTGTATGAGGAGAAACTTGGGCGTTTTCCCACCGATGACGCCACTGGCACAAAACACCAAGGGTTCTGATCCAAGCTTTCAAAATTTTTAATATCATTTTTGGTCCATGAAATGCATTTTTACGTTTATTATATATTAAACCTTTTTCTTGTGACCCAATGAACGTATTAACAACAACACCAATTATACTAATGACACTGATTTATAGTTTTCAATTAAAATTTGCGTACATAAAATAAAGGTGCACACCATTATATTTAGTGTCGTTGTCTGAATAGGTTTTGCGATAGATGAAATCCAGTATTTTTCCTCTATGATACGGTTAAATTTTACAGAAGAATTAAACTTTATTTTCATTTCATTTCAATTACAAGATAAATTAGGATTATTAACTGTAGCTATTTATTATTAATACATGTATCAACAGTGATATAATAAATATAATAAAATTGTCGTAACAACATCAATGTTTCAGAATTTATTCGTACCATTGTAATCGATGAATTATAATTACAAAACGATGAGGCAGTGACGAAATGCTGTAGAATGTTCAGTGCCAAAATAGTTCTGACCAGGAATTTCAGAAAATACTTTCTGTAAATGCATATAACATACCTTGGCAAGAAACAATATCATAGTATTAATGTAGAAGACATGGAGTTATTTTTTTAATATGCAATTACAAGAACTGTCAATACATTTCAATTGAAAAATTATTGCTTCTTCCGCAAAGCTTAGAATTATTAATAGTAATATCGTATAATTTTAAAAAAGGTATATATATATATATATGTATGTATTTACAATTATTCTGAAATTATTTATGATATCCTACATAATATACAAATTTTGTATATGTATACATATATAATTATAAAAAATAAACACAATAACTACAGTATAGATTAAAGTATGATCCTCTTTAAATGCAATTACAATTGCTTATCATTTATATGGTGTATAGTAAAGTCCCTTATTCAAGCAAATAATGAACAATGACGTTTTTATGCGGCTATTTTCAAGTTCGATAAACGCTGGTCTTTCTTTACATTAATGAGATTTAAAAATATAATCTAATCCACTCTTACTTATTTCTTTTACCAAACAACATTTCTTTTCCTAGTCATTATGAACTTACTAGTAAAAAAATATATTTATTAGTTTTTAAACATTCAATGTATCTAATTATCGCAAAAAGACAGGAAGAGGCTGTTTCGATAATAAAAGATTTTTTCTGATCTCACAAGCTAATCCAGGATGTTACCTCGGTCGCCATTTGTTTATTACAAATGCTACCAGGTACTCGGAAAGAAAGAAGCAACGTTTAAAAAGAATACGTTAAATAGATAATGCAGTTTACATTGATCTGCATTGCGCTTCAAAACAAAGCGATCGATGAGTGCATATGCTTCTTTGGTTGTATCAGTGCTTAATTTAATTATTGCTACACATACATATTTCGTACAGTCATAATAAATACTTAAAACAATATCGACAGTATTCATTTGAAAATTCTGCTGAAAATATAAAACAGTTCGTTCATGCTGGAAAGTATTTAAATTCACGATCAAGGCCACGATAATGTTATAGGATGAATATTTAAATGTATACGTTTACGAAAGAGAATGTGAAAACATTAAATGTAGTTAATATCTTAACAGTCTAAAATTTCTCTTATTCAGAAAATTATCAGTGCAAAATTGGTTCCCTATATAAATACTAAAATAACTGACTTCTATGTGGTACACGAGTATCGATACTATTTGCTAGTACAAATAGATTATACTCCATTGACATCTCACATATCTTTACAGCCAGACGTTTTGCACAATTAACTCTATTGTAAATTCACAATTTAAAAATTTAAAGTCACCGAATATACGGTAAACAATCTTGAGGAGATTCTGTTCCCAAAAGTTAATATTAAAACATCAACTTATCGAACTAATAACGTAGACACGACCAAAATATAATTGTCGTTTATGGTATATACGTTTATCATAAATATCTATTTTTGGATGAACAGCAGTTTAGTAAAATGAAAAATCGAACTTTCTGACGTTTTTTAGGGTGCACACCCATCTCGTGTAATTTCAATAAATGTCGGCGTGGGGTGCCCTCATCAATCGGTTGAATACTTATTTGGTCGATTGTGAGATTACTCTACAATGAAGTTCAATAAACATTTATAATTACTTCAAAAGCTTAAGCGTTTACTTAGTAATTTTGTTATTAAATATGGAACACGCGCAAGGCACAATACTCTCAAGCTATCACACGTGTTAGGATGAATTAATATTCTTTTCCTTTCAGTAATTAGATCATTTAAATACAGAGTTAGCACCAGTCCAATCTTGTTAGAGTGAGCAAGTATTACCCTATAAATCGGGCTTTCTTACAAGTCACATTCATAGATTTAAGAAAGATCATTCCTGAATCCCCTTCCTCAACTAAAAGTTTACAGAGATTTCTTACTTTAAATTAATATGAATACAATTATAAAGTATTTCATTGAGATTCAACAACCATGTCCTTAGTATTTGCATTAATATTGAATATGTATAATTTCAAGCCCGTGTAAATAATACTATTGAATATGAAAGCTGTACGACATGTGAATGGTTTTAACACTTGTAACACTTAATTTCGACATGTCGCATATAAAAAAGTATTTATCTTGCTACATACCTACGTATATGTATAACCAACTCCATAAAATATACAATATAACACACTGTTTTCCTTTTGCATCAGATATTTCTGTACCAAATGTCTTAGTAGTGCAAAACAGTTATTAATCTAATTATCACTGTAATAAAACAATTTCTTGCAAATCATTCTTTCCTTTCTCGTATTGTCTTTAACTATTTTGTTTCTTATTATTGGTACCTAATGTTAAACATCCGAAGCTTCGTGTAAAATTATTGAGAAAAGTTACACAGAGGCGACGTTAGCATTAGTATCGTCACTTGCATAAGTAAATACCGTTAATTCTTTTAAGATTAATATGGTGTTACATAAAATGGTTAATCTCATATATTCATATCGTAGAGGTGTGGAGGAGCACCTACCACTGAAGGCATTTGACAACCACGTCGAACTAAAAGTCGGACGGATGGCCCACCGTTTCGTATAATTTCAATGGCCTCTGTGTGTGTCATATTCTTAGTATTGATTCCATTTATTTCAATTATTTGATCTCCCACCTGAAGATAATTATCAACACAAAACATTTGTAGCACAAGTTTAATAAATTACTGTATTCCAATAATAGTATATTTACCCTTAATCGATTATCGATAGATGCAGGACCATTTTCCGCAATTTGTAAAACAAATAACGGCATATTTTGAAATTCACGTCCTCCGCGAATACTAAAGCCAAATCCTCGAGTTCCGCGAGTTAATTCTACAGCATGGTACTGGCCACCATCTCCGTCACACGTTGGTTCATCCTAAAATATTTTAGATTATGTCATATATGTCTAACTAAACACATAACAAAGAAGATCAGAAATACCTTTTGGGAAAGAGAAGTATTACTGCAACAATCATCAAGAGGATAACCGATCGTCAATGTAACAGAATACCCAGAGTCTTTAATTAAATTTACAATGTCCTTGTGACAGACATTTGTAATATCTACATGATTAACAGCAAGAATATGATCTCCGACATTTAATCGTCCGCATCTTTCCGCGGGCGAACCTTCGATTATTCTACCGATCGTTGAACCTGCTTTGTTAACCGAAGAAATTATTACGAAGCCAAAACCTTCATTTTCCATTCTAGTGACTGTCACGTCGTAAGGATATTGGAGATTCATTTGTCTACTGTATGAAGTTTGAAGGTTTTCTGGAAGATGTTCTTGCGTGTTAATTCTGCGGCGTATACCTAAGGTAACCCTGCCATTTTGAGCTGCGGCTATCATTAACTGAACAACGTGGTGGTGCGACGAATTCATAACACTTTCACCGTCGACAGACATAATAAGATCACCTGTATTCAGTCTGTTATCTAAATCGGCTGCACCACCGGGTACTATATGTCCAACTGAGACCTGCTGACAGTTACATTATCAATACCTTTGATTTCCCACGATCATAGATGTTAGCAATTATTTAACTCACTTGAGATCCTTCCTCCGTGCCACCTACTATCCTAAATCCAAAACCTGTATCTTGCCTCACTAAAGTTACCAATGTTTCTATCCATTCTATATCAGGCACAATTGGGCATACTAATTCGTTGGTATACTGAGGATACCTAAAATTTAGATATTCATCCATAAATTTACAAGAACTCATATGCCAATTTGATACAATTGTAATACTTGCCGTGGTATCGAACTGGAATGTGGTTGCTCGTGTTCGAAACTCGTAGTCTCTTTCCGTTTATCCCATATTTCACCGGTATCAACATTTTGTTCTTGGCCAATAGAATATACATTATAATCTTGCTCGCTATATTGGGAATGAGACTGCGATGTATACAATTCTTTATAATAATCTGAATGCAAACATCCGTTTTGTTTTAACATGTTATCGTGATGAGGTATATCGATAGAATATACGTCATTGTTTATATTTAATTTGTCGTTTGTAACCCAATCTCTTTTCGTAATATTTCTTACAGAATCGTCATCTAAATTTGTCATCGCAACAAAATTATCGGATAAATTTGTAATATTTGCTTTATATGGATCGGTATAATACATGCCATGAGTATATTCCGCGTATTTATATCGATTATCGAGTGGATTTAGTTCGTTTTCACTTTGCTCATTCCAATTTGATCTAATTGCATCATTTGTTGGCGATTTTGGATGATTTCTGGTATCTATAAGTGGTGTTTTTGGTCGGCTGGGTACAACAGCCTTTGTTTGAGTGCTGTAAATATCAGCAGTTGGCGTCTTACTTCTAAAAAAGTCTTGCGAATTCTTTTCTTTCTTTTCGTTTGACTTTGATGTTGTTCTTTGTACATGTATTAGCGCTTCTTCGTTGCGAGGACAATCTTTCAGAACTTGCACTACTTCGGAGTGACACATGTTTCTCACGTTAATTTCATTTATGTTGACTAAAATGTCACCTTCCATCAAATTTTTACACCGTTGACGATCTAAAATTTTTTTTACTTTCTGACCGTGAGCAGAATCTGCTATTGTAAATCCAAAGCCCATGGTTCCCTTCACTATTGCAATACTGAAAAATTCCGGTTTGGAAGACATCGGTGAATCTTTACAATCGTTTAAATCGCTGCTTTCCGACAAAAGAATGTCCGTGCTACTGGGCCTTTTAATCGTATTAATTTTGTCTGATATGCAGAGATCTGGCATTGAATTGACCGAAGTTGTAGCAAGATTTTCACCATTTTGAAGGCTATGCACTGGCAAAAATGTAGAGTCCAGAAAATTGAAACGATCATTGCTTTGCAGAGCAGGATCCAGATCCATGTACATCCTGGGATCTTCTGTTAAAATGTCTGAGGAAATAGAATTTATTCTTCTAATAAAAATATACAATTACTTAGCATGCTTTTTACCTGGTGCATTAACAGCAATTGTGGTAACAACTTCCGTATTCGGATCGTTTGGATCAAACGGTAATGGATAACCACGGCATACTTCTAACGTAACAGTCTCACCACTGCCAATGGATTTAAAAACATTTACCATTTCGTTATGCGTGAAACCCAAAACGCATGTATCGTTAACATACACTAAGACATCTCCTGTAATTTATAGTATTTTATGCTAAAATAATTCTAGTATTATTACGGATCGTTTCTGTCGTAATATAATTTTATACGCTACCAGTTTGTAATTTTCCATCTAACCACGCCGGACCATTAGGTACAACGCTTTTTATTTGTAAAAATTCTTCTACCGAATCATCCCCACCAACAATAGTGAATCCCAGCCCCCGTGAACTTTTGATTAGCGTTGTCCGGATTCTCTGACCTTTTAGTTTGTCAGGATTTCTGGTAAAATTAGGACTCTTTCTTTCTCCTAAACCTTGTTGCGCACGTTTAGCTTGCAGTACCGGATTTTCATACTGGGTTCTACGATTTACGTGGTCTATAAAATATGTACCATAGAGAGTATCATCTATTTTCTCCCAACCGTAAGGTAATTCATCATCCAAGCATTCCTCTAGAGATCGTTTTTGAAATTTAGATAAGCGTGGATCTAGCCAGTGCGAGGTGCCTGTATTATGGCTGTAATATCATCATTGATACATATGTGTAAATTGACAAACTAAGTTCATTTTCAATGGTAAATATATTTTGCACATACTCTATGAAATAAACTTCTCCAGTTTCTGTGTAAGCCTTCTCCCAATTTGGTGGCAGAGGTCCTAACTGGTCGTTTGTGGCATGATTACGACTTCTATTGCTGTGTTCTTGATTGGATATTCCTGTATTTGGTTCTGAACCAGTATTGTACAAATATGTAGGTGGAATACGATGACCAGTTTCATCAGTGCCACTAATTGCTAATACCTCTTTGTCCATGCTTTCTCCTGGAATTACATAGATTACAATAACATATAACAATGCGCAAGATACATTGTTACACAATGTATAACATGACATTCATGGACAATTAAACATATATATTTGTATACCATCGTTGGTATTATCAATAGATGTTGCGTCCTCTGTTTTCGTAGCCATTTTATGATTCCTCGAGTTTCACCTTAATACCCTAATGAATAATAATAAAGTTACAAAATATGAACAGTTCATGAATACATATGCATTTTCTTTTCGTTTATACGTGATTATTACAAGTAAACCAGTGTTTTACATGAATCACATAGATGTGAAAAATCATACATCAAGTAACTATAAAACTACAGATATTTACAGTAGACAAGAAATACTGTTACTGGTAACGATATACCCTATCAGGATTACAGATTATATTTCGTGCGTTGCGACACCTTTTATGCAACATTTCTAAACATTTCTCCCGTTGCTTTGGGATTAATTCTTCGCGCACGGTAATCGCGTTATCCAGATCGGTATGCCTCGGGACTCACGGCCCGAAAATACTTTTATCTGCGATTCCAAATATCTGACAGATAAGGGATAGACGAAAATGTTGACAGTGAACGGAAAGCTGGCTTTCTGACACCGGCGCACACACGCCAGTACACATAATACTCCGGACGAGCCGATGGACAGGTGTCCGCGGTAAAATTACATAAAGTAGGAGAGGAACACTACACCGTGAACGTGAATGCATTCTTACGAATGCGTTCACCCGAGAGAGCCTGTGCGTAGCCCACATATCGCGCATCATTGAATGCAACTTTCTATCTACGAAAGTAACGTGCCCGTGGCTCTCTTGGAACGTAAATAAGTTTTCGTTCGAGAGACGCGATCGTGGAATCTAACGTTATTTTCACGCATACCTTGGGATGAAAAAAAACGTTATTCGTAGCCTCTCTTTCTTTCTCGCACGCGTTCGTAGAACGAGATCGAGATTGGCATGAAAATTCGCGAAGTGGGAAATAATGATACAGTACGAGCTAGGAAAACGTATATTCCGTAGGCAGTTTTTTCCACGGTGATTTACTTACACTGATTTCCAACGACGTGATTCTCTATTGATTCGATCATCGTGGCTCAGCCGTGAAAACGGACTGAAATATTTCAGCACTGAATCACTTCGGAACCGCGGGAATGCTCATCATTTTCGAAATAATAATGGAGTGAAACGTACTGGCATTCGTCGTAAGCTACATCACACACGACCACACGACACTGGCAGTGGCAGAGTGGCACTCTGGCACCGCACGGTTCACATGCAATGCAACTGAGGCATTTAACCGACGAATCTGTTCAACTATCACCTCGCGGTCGGATTACGTACTACTTTTGTGGCGCAATATTCAATTGTAAAATGCATTCCGATAAAAAAGACAAACTTCGAAAGAGTAACAAAAATTACGTCAAGTACACGAAAAAAGTCGAGTATTCGGATCGGATGTATACGATCGAGATACAAAGGAAATGTTTTCATTTTATTTTGTAAATGAAAAATCCGTTTATCGTACGAAGACACAATAATTTCAATTGAAACGGAAAAACCTTATACACATACGTATATTTTCGTTTCGGTAACACGGATGTACAAAACAGAAGAAAAACTCCGGTAGCAGTTCGAATCGTTTTTATGAAATTTATGCAAGAATAACAGGTATTTAGCTTGTGTTATATACGAAATCGGAGTTTAAAGTTGAATGAAATTATAGTCATCGATTACTTTGTATCTGGCCTCTCTGTAATGTAACAAGTCGTCTAAAAAGCGCGTGCTACTCTCGTTGTGCAGTTTCGTAAGCACCGGAGGTAGAGGCGTTATTCCTGCAGTATTTGCAAGATCGTCGTAATAAATGCCTTGTTTGAATCCCATCTGGTGGAAGTGCCTCTTCCGAAGACCCTCAGTCGCACGCTTCTCCAATTCATCTTTCTCGTCTTGCAGCATGTCCGCCTTGGTCGGAAAGTCTTTTTTACCGAACCAGAATTTCAGAACAAACCGGACCTACGGCCAATAATTCCTACTAAATTTCTTTCCGTGGAATACACCTGTCCTTCTATAAAAGCATTAAGCTCCTTCTTTAACCGTACCTGCAAATCGAACATACTGAATGCGCAGACATAAAACGGAATACCGATTAAAGCAAGGGTGGGATTTTCGATCGACACAAGGTGCTTCCACAACGGCGTGACCATATTCGAGTCCACCCGTACACCGCACGTTGGGTCCAAAAATGGAAAACTATACTCGTATCCTACGATGAAAGGAACGTTACTTGGATATCGTTTATCACATAAAACTAATCGAAACATACCTGTACAATAGAAAACTACATCTACAGATTCGCTGGAACCGTCATCGAAGAGAACGCCATTTTCGGTTAACTCCTTCACATCCGGTTTCTAAACATTCGAACGCTATAAACGCTATAAATCGTTTCGTACGATTTCTTTGTTCGGCAATTACCTGAATTACGTTATCAGGAAAAACAGTGCCTATAGGGTCCTTCGAGTGATGACTCAAAATTACACGCGTTGCCTTCGTCGATATCTCCAAAGCCAAATCCATTCCTGTCGTTATCAATCGAGAACCCACGGCATATTAATTACACGGAATGAGCTTAATTATATCATGTAAAATGTCTCTATGCCCGAGTAAAGACTGGATAAGTGCGAGACAGGATTGACTGGATAAATGGAAGATGACTGTACCCACCACTTGGGTTGCCTTTTGATGCTCAGCGAGCGAGCAGCGTAATATGATTCTAATTGAGATATCGGTGAGACTTATTGTTACTACTGTCTCTCACCTATACGCTTCTGCCGACTGCTTTTTTTTTCTCGGACCTTTTTCTCTTTAAATCTCTGTCCTTTTCCACGTTCGACGTTCGACTCGAGCCAAATGTAAACACAGAGTAGAAACCTCGACTGGATGATTCCAATGTTTGAGTCACTTATCCAGTCTTTACTGCAGATGTATACAGTAAAGTTCCATGTGTTACACAGGGTGAACGATTTATCTGAAGACATTGAAATATCTCGAGAATTATGCATCGGATGAAGAAAAGCGGGTAACGAAAGTCGTTCGTCTCGATAAAAAACTTGAATGGGAACCCCAAATTTTGATTGCAGATTTGGATTCTTGCAGAGTTGGTTACCCACTATTCTTGATCCGACGTTAGATTCTCCAGATGTTTCAGTGTCTTCTATAATCGTCCACCCTGTATAATAACGTACCGGAAGGTCCTGCGCCGAGAACAACAACGGTTTTATCAAGGAATACGTCAGGTGTCCTGTAATCGTGACTGTGCAATTGTTGGCCCTGAAAAGTGTTCCGGCCTTTCAGGTTTGGAACACTGGGCTTGAAGTAATGACCATTGCATACCATAACAGCGTCGAACGATTCGTTCGTGACAGTATTCTTCTGCAAATCTTTCACCTTGATCGTCCACTTCCGGTCCCCTCCGTCCGTCGGCTTAACCAACTCGACGTTGCGGAGAAACTGCAAAATAGAATTTCCGTGGTACGTCTCGCCTAGAAAAATGCTGGCCGTAATTTACTTTGTAAAAGAAAAAGGGATACCCGAATATACTTGCGTAGATCAAAATGGTCGCAATACGAGTTCAAAAATCCGAGTATTTGCGTGCGAGTCAAATAACTTGCCGGAGTATCCGGAATCGGGTAATCGGGGTACCCCATCACTTCCTTGGGTAGATTCGTTCTGTAGAGTACGAATAAATTTCTTGTTAATGTAAACGATGATAATTCAAGGTATGTAAGGTATTATCGCAATAAACGAAATATGTTGTATTGGGTTGTCCGGAAAGTTCGTGCGTACTTTTAAGAAAAATTCAAAGGCGTATTTGAATGTTGATGTATATTTATTGAATTATACATGTGTCATTTTGTTCCACAACTTTTCCACCTTTTAAGAAATGTACACATGTTATATTTGTTTTCAGCCATTCCGACATATTCAGACCCGTACCGTCTAGTAAAAATCGGCATGGACTTTCCAAACAGCCCGATATGTTAAAATTCATAGAATATTGTGTACGTACGACACGTAATTTTACCTTAAATTTTTGTACATACTGGAGTGCACCGGTAAACCGTATCGGTCCAAACCAGTTTCTTCTACGTAGACCCATGTGCCTCCTACTTGGTCTGTTTTCTCGTAACAAACTACTTCGCAGTCGTATGTACCGGAAGTGCAATGTCGCAGAGCCGCGAGACCAGCAGATCCAGCGCCGATCACAGCAATCTTCATCTTCGCGAAAAATTTCGTAGGCTTGCGATCTCGGTTCACCGATTAATCGGGTGGTCTCTCGATCTTTCTTCTTCGAAGTCTTCCGACCTGGCTACAAGCACAGACAGTATAATAATAAAGCAATTTTGCGGTCGCGTCACTTATCGCGTTCAAAAATAAAGTGCGTTTAATTGGAATACAAAAAGATCAACGGTATGATTCGTCTCAACGGTATCCCGATATCGCGCAATGCATAGTTACACGCGGACGAGTTAGAAATGAGAAAGGTGCGACGATTGAAAGTTGAATGCGCGAATGTATGGTAGCTCCTTTTTTTCTCGCGAATACACACTTTCCTCGCTATTCCATAACTATCTCCCTCTCAGCGAACGTGTGCGATTTTATCGATACGTGAATCCGACGACATACCGAAACGTATGGGCCAAAGTACCATGTTCTAATCGAATTAAAATGACACAGCAACGCTTAATGTAAAACTCACATGTTGGAAGAGCGAGACAACGCGTGTTAAATTGCCAACGAAGTCGATGTATTTCAGTCAAAGAAGAGATACATACTGACCAATCGTAAAATAATCAGCGTGTGGAAAGTTGAAGTGTATCGTTCGAAAGAAGGCTGCTATTGATAACAAGGTCGTCGTCTTTTCCACGCGATTACTATATAGAGTGTAAGCGAAGCAAGTTGTCGAACTTGAAGAGTGTAATCTACTTATCTTAAGGTCTCGTAAACACGGGTTCAGAAATTCTTTTTTTCCGTGATACGAAAAAGTTTTTGTTCGCGATTCGATCGGAATAGCCATCGAGAATAGCGTTAGAGATAGCGTTATCATATTCTTGTTGTTTGAAGTAGGCAATGACAGTGGATACGTATGCATTAGAATCAGTATACATCGATGCATACGTGTATTCTGTTGGAGATAAGCAATTGAATATGGTCCATGGACCGATCAAGCTTCGGTTCGTTTCATTTTCGATACTTGAGCGTTTCTTCTAACAGTTATAACTTATAACAACTGGCTCTACTAGACTCTTCTTAGCGAATCGCGAAACAAAAATGTTCCAACGTAATATCTAATCTCCTTTGTCCCTTGTCTACGACTGTTAAGTTAATTAGGCATATTATGTTTAAACGAATGTAATAGGATGCGCGAATATGTTTGTACTGTCGGTATATTACGGAAAACAAATCATTTGTATTATGAACGAGAGTAGAAGATAAAGTATGCCAGCAGATCCTGCCTTAGATACACTGTTAGTTAATGTTACGAGTCTAATGTAAATATAAACCGATCGAGAATTTGCGATAAACAATAATTGATCTAAATTCTTTTTGATAATTTGGTATAGCGGTTGTTTTAAACTTCACCGAAGGGACCGCCACAATCCAGTCATTTTTAACGCCATCTAGCATAAACAGTAGAAACTGTTTCCGCACGTTGTTTCGTCGATAACTTCGTTTGTGTCGGTACTAAGATTAAACTTAGGACGCCCATCGACAGATGGCTATACTGTCACCGTGTACAGCGCGGCTACGTATGATTACAATTTCTACATTTTATTTAATTACATTTATTTCCCTTTTTAAAGTATTTTCCGTCACGTGACGCTTAACCCGTGTCACCAAGCGGAACACATATTTGCCGATGGACTTTCATACGGGTTTTAATAATACAGAGAACTGAAATACAGTGATATCTTTATTTATCATTCATGCGATAAATTGTCCTTGATAGCGTATTCGTCGATGCAGGCCAAAACATTAACTCCATTTGACTCTCCTTATACGTACTCAAAGTCCAAGCTGTAGACAAAGTTCAGACAATTTATCTTCACGAATTAAACCGTTATGCATCGTCCATTTATCGAGTACAAGTGTATCGATACCAGAAGTTGTAAATTGCCACAATTATTCGACTAAATTAACATTATCGATTACTTTGTAACAAAAGTAATACCGACGAAGAAACAATGACGAAACAACGCACCTATCAATATACAGGGTATCCCAAAAGTCGGGGAGGAGCCGGAAATTGGGGGTAGCTGTGACGATTCTGAACAACAATTTACTTTGCAAAAATGTCGGATGGGACTTCGTTAAGGAGATATTAAGCGAAAACCCCGACCAATCAGAGCGCGCGTAGACCGTTCGAGCGGCCGCGGTAGCGAAGGCTACGCGCGCTCTGATTGGTCGGGGTTTTCGCTTAATATCTCCTTAACGAAGTCCCATACGACATTTTTGCAAAGGAAATTGTTGTTTAGAATCGTCTCAGCTACCTCCGATTTCCGGCTCCTCCTCGACTTTTGAGACACCCTGTATGTAATATTGTTGGAAATTCCGACACTTACCACATAAACATGGGGCACGACGAGTGACAAGGCGTCGCGTAGGGGACCGGACCCCAGTGACGAGCGCAGGGCCCATTGTAGAGTTGTAGACCACACTCGAAGGCCCTTCAAGGGCCCTTGAAGGACCTTCGTTAAGAGGACTGTGTTGAGACTTTTCGCCACGCCGGGAAAGTCAGTTCAACACGAGCACGCCTTGCGAATAGACTTCGACGATAACTCCAAATTAGAACTGTAATTTATAAGATATAAAACGTAGTTTATACATACAAATAATATAAATATAAATATAAATATAAATATAAATATAAATATAAATATAAATATAAATATAAATATAAATATAAATATAAATATAAATATAAATATAAATATAAATATAAATATAAATATAAATGTAAATATAAATATAAATATAAATATAAATATAATCACGCGCCCTCTTAACTTATAATATATTCTTTCATTAAAAATTATTAAATAGTTTTACAATTCATAAATACTTTAAATTCTATTGGTACAAGTTACAACTCGTAGTGATACCAGATGGCCCATTAGCTCAGTTGGTTAGAGCGTCGTGCTAATAACGCGAAGGTCGCGGGTTCGATCCCCTCATGGGCCATATATTTTTTTTATTTTTGTTCATTGACCCTTGGTTTACCGTTATTTTCTCTTGTAAGTAAAATCCTTTCGAATGTTGTGCTTCGTTCATTGTATACGTTCAAAGTTGAAAACAACCAAGCGAGACCGAGGTACGTCGCAAAATACGTAAACTACGACTTTATTAAAGCATATCAAATTTCACATGTTGTACAACTACTTCCTTTTTAATTTAGAACACGATAATCATCTATTCCGCCAAAAGGCACGCATGACCATCATGAAACTATTTATTATATCACCGTTGTTACAGCGATAAGATAGCCGCTAACTCTACTTGACATTCGGAGCTGAAAAGTTCATATCTAGATAAACCGAAAACCTTAGTCACAACATTTCGAGTGTTTCGATGATCTAGTCTCAGTTTACCTTCGTCGAACGATCTTAATTGAAGAAAATTCATCGACGAAATGCGTAAAAAAGAAAAATGTTATCTCTAATTCACTTTGTAAACGAACTACGATAAGAGGGTTAGAGTCCGTTGCAAAAGATCGAAATATAGAGAAATATGTGAAATATGACTTCGGGATATCCAAAAATTTCACTTCGAAATGATTGATCAACCGATCATAATTCTCTCATCGATTCCTTCGATTCATCATTCCATTCGAGACGTATTTTTCTACTGTCAAGAGAAGCGGAGATTTCGAGGCGATAACGTTAGGTGTGTCGTGTACGTGTTTACGTAAAAAGCAACGACGGTAAAATAAAATCTTGCTACACAGTTCAGGGGCGTACGATCCGTGGTTCGTAACCCTTTTGAGTGGGAAGGGTGGCGAACGTTCTGCGCCTGCCTCCCGTTATGCGCACGTACATATATATGACGTATGCAGCCAAAAGGGTATCACACCATCGCGTTCCTGAAGCTTATCGATCCAGTCGCAAGCTGAGCTTCTTTTGGTCGAGTCCGACGTCACGGGTAGCCGGTGATAGGCGGAATTCGACTGTGGGCGATTGCCATTGGTTGACGAGCCGGTATAAACGGTGCTTTCACGGTAACCTGTTCCAGTTGTGTTGTTATCCACTCACAGTACACTTGGTAAGTACATTTCGCTCAGCTTAGCCATCGTATCCCTTCGTTTCTTCCATCATCTATCCAACCATTGTCTTTCCAATGTTTCGACTACCAAGAGTTTTCTTCGAAATCATTCGTTGCAACATTTTTTTACAAGATCGCAGACCTATAATTTCTTCGCGCCTTGAATTTGATCGGCAAACGTTTCTCAATTTTCCTTTGTACAATGTTTATCGTCGAATGGTTCCGCGACTCGTGTTCCATTATCGTTTAGACGTGCGCGTTCGACTCGCATATGTTCGTTGACAGATTATAGCGTTTAAGCTTGAAACGCGAATGAAAATTTCATCGTGTCGGCTATGTTTCTCGCTCGATGCTATCGACGCGGTCCCTTGCTGCAATGCATATGCGCGAAAAGTCGAATCGACACATCGAATCGTTAAACCCGTCCTGCTATACCGCGGTCGTTAGGAATTAGTAAGTAGCTTCGCGAAAACTTTCTCGTCGTCCAAGAATGTACTACGGATATCGAAAACGAAACACGAACGCAAAAGGCAGGTGCACCGCCTTAAAATAAATCGTCCGTTTCCCTGAAAACATTCGCGATCGATACGTTTCGCGTTTAAAAATGTGTGAAAGGGCACACGGACGAGTTGCATCCACACGTAGCCGTCGCGCTCGCGTCAAGGATAATCAATATTGTACTCGCACCTTTCCAGCGACTGTATTATCGTGCGCAAGGATACTGCAGGAACTGCGCCTTTTCAAGGCGTTCCAGCGATCGTTAGAAAGGAAGAATTTTAAATCGTGATACGTTTGTAAGTTGGGTGTAATAACCAAATCGGCAGCCGAAGGTCACGTAAAGCGGTCCTCGATGTTTGCAATTTCAACCTTTGTCTACGTTGTCGTTTACCTGCGAATAACATTTCAAGCTTACTTTGTATACGTATATGCGAACGATGTCTGACTTAACATTTTTTGAAATTTCTGGAAGAGAATACGCTTTAAGAAGGCGATACGGAAAAGAACAACGATGGTGTCGGACCCTCGGCACAAGGAGGATTGAATAATGGTCGGAAAAGTCCCTGGACGTCCTTACCACGTCGAAGTCGACGTTTACATCGATTTTTGTACAGGGTGTCCCAAAAGTCGGGGAAGAGCCGGAAATGGGGGGTAGCTGAGACGATTCTGAACTACGATTTCCTTTGCAAAAATGTCGGATGGGGCTTCGTTAAGGAGATATTAAGCGAAAATCTCGACCAATCAGAGCGCGCGTAGACCGTTCGAGCGGCCGCGGTAGCGAAGGCTACGCGCTAGGCGGCAGCGTCAATGTCCTTCGATGCACGTCGAGTCACTTGTTCGCGTACAAGCGCGGCCCCCAGCGCGTAGCCTTCGCTACCGCGGCCGCTCCAACGGTCTACGCGCGCTCTGATTGGTCGGGGTTTTTTCTTAATATCTCCTTAACGAAGCCTCATCCGACATTTTTGCAAAGGAAATTGTTGTTCAGAATCGTCTCAGCTACCCCCCATTTCCGGCTCCTCCCCGACTTTTGGGACACCCTGTATATGTATACACATATTTTGGACTTGTTCGCGTAGCGTATCTTTTCTAGATGTCTTCAAGTGTTTAGGCCGACGCCGACTGACGCTCTCCATAAATATTTTTGTCTTACATTTGAAATTTTGAACTAGAGAAAGGTCGCGTTAGGGCACCGTCTACCATTAGTTTACATCCGTTCTAAGTATAAATAAGTCCTT